TCTGAAACATTTCAATCTAAGACTATATACACAAAAATACCATCCTAAAAACATTCAAAAAAATTTTTTTTGCAATCTTAACCTTTTTATTTACTGCCTATTCTTTTTTACGGCAGGGTATTATGCGAAATACAACCACAAATATGCTGAGATCTTTGTGGTTGTATTTCGCACAGTACCCTACCGTAAAAATTGTACTAAGCAAAAAAATAAAAAGTAAGCATTGTGATTTAAACTAGAGCCTCAGCTTAACTGGGTTCGCTGCCGATCTGGGCTCCCTAGATCAATCCCGCTGACGGGTGATTGTTGATGGCGCGAATCGACATAACTAGCTGAGAAACAGGCGAAACGAAGGTCCCGCATGGTGTGGTGGCGAACACGTTAGCCCCGGAAAGGGTAATAGCGCGTTCGTTTTCCCACCGCAGACACCTGCGCTCCGGAGTTTTGCAAATATCTCAGCATATTTGTGGTTAGTCCAAAGCATTCACACTACGTTTTCAGATGTTGCTTATATGTGATCTTCATGTCATGTAATTACCTAAAGCATTATACTAAAGTAGCCCACTGAATCCACCAAACGAGGGATTTCCAGTCGGATCGCGCTGGCTATTTCATCGGTGTTTCTCTAGAGTGCTGATAAAGAGAAATCCAAAAGTGTCGTTGCGCTGTTCTGGGACGCAGCAACGTTTAGGTGATTGACTCGCTGTTTATGCTGTGTCGATAAAGTATAAAGAAAAGGTAAAAGGATGAAGTGATCGGTAGTGATAAAACCCTTAAAGGTGCAACACACATTCGTCTTCACAAAAGCATCAAGGGGTGACTGATTGCATATTTAACTTGTACAACGACTCAATAGAGCCAACCGATGTATCACATCAGTGTTTTCGTTCTTCTGGAACAGTTTAGTACTAGCTTTCTGGTCTCTGATGGATGGAGTATTTAGTTTACATAGAGGGCGAAATGGAACTAAACACCACGTTTGTATTTCAGTGTAACTCTAAAAATTGCGCTACACATTCTCTTCTTTATCATATATCGTCTGCATTTATATAGGAATGTGCATGTATACATGTGCACTCGTGTACATGCAGGCTGCATCCTACAAACCATTCAGATAAAATTCTGAAATTAGGTAATTGGGAAGTGTCTAGGAAGTGGTAATAAGATGCCTCCAAAAATTGTGCTCCACATCTACTCTGGGGCCTCCCTCGTAGATCTCAAGCTGGTTAGTCGTGAAACAACGTGGCGTGTCCCTAGGTGGCGGAGAGGGAGCTAATCATGGACTAAAAGCGACTGTGCTTCTCCTGAAACGTAGATGAATCCACGGGATAGAATAACTACTTCTACCGCACCAACTTGACGCATATCTCTAGTGTCTGTGAGGAAGTATTCATGTATGAGTGCATGGATGTGTCCGCGGTTATTCGGATTGTCTTCTACTAGCCAATTCGGCCGAAAGTATGCAATCAAGTGAGAGGAAAGTATATGAGAGGTGGTTAGGACTCACCTCAAAGAAATAAGATCCCCGTGAACTCTGAGAGAGAATGGCAAGATATCCGTGAGTATACACAGCCACCACGTTGAGAGCTCAGCAAACTGTACGTGAGCATCAAACGCTAAGCATAGTAAAATAAATAGGAATCATTACAAAGCACCCCATACGGAGCGTTAGGTGGGATCATGGGACCAGTACGAAGAGGATGCTAAAGTCTGAGGGCCATTCTACGTTACCTCTAATCGCAAAGGGCTAGGTTGACGATCTGTACATACAATGCACGCACACTTTCATCGGAGTCCTCGATAGAGCACTTGATCATGCGGGCAAGAATGATAAGCTAAGACGTCGCCTCACTGGCTAAGGCGAGAAGACGTCGTCCAATCACCCCCGTACATGACACCAGAGAAGAACTGTTCCTCCAAAAATGCAGCAATAGAGGAGTCAGAGATTGTGGCGTTCTTGTTAGCATGAGTTTGGCCATGAACGTCGATTCGTTCGAGGAACTACCGGTCCGAATAGGACGTTTAGGTGGAAGAGATGTGGATCAATACCGGATTTGATAATCATCGTCGCCTAAGCACAAAAATCAAGCTATGACGAAAACGAGGTCGAGACGTCCTATGTCGACTTGGGAAAGCTCTTCAGATAAGCTCTTCAGATAGCATTCTTTAAGGGCATCACAGAAAATTTAAACTCTAAGATTGGACCGAGAAGAAAGTTTGAAGAACGTCACATTGGAACCCACGCATTAAAATGGAGCGAGTAGGATGAGCAGCTGAGTTTACCGTGACGACCAAGACCATTTGTGGCAACTCATAGTAAATCAAAGGTTTTACACAATCGATTTCGTTGTTTCCCCAAAACTCCACACGGATCAGACCATTGCCTCCATTGTGCGAGATTTCATTTCTTGCAGAAAGGAGGAAAAGCCGCCAAATTCAAAAAAAAGGAAGTCGCAGAACCACCACAAACACGAACTTATTGAGCTCATTAGCAAGCTGTTGGGAACATACCGTTCTTGACAACATCTAAGAGGAATACGATCGGTTCGTTTAACATCTTAACGATAGCGCTATGAAAGCTGAGAGCTCGGAAGTCACCAAGAAAAGTTTGTCTCCAGAAATACTCGAGCTGACACCTCGGCTTGGAATTGGACGAGCAGCAGGCAACCGCCGACTAGCGTTCGAACTTACTAAATGATACAGACAAGCAATAAAAGATAATCTTAAAGAAATAAGACTAGCAGTTATGGTCGAAGCTGCAGAGGCTGGGAAAAACATTTGCTAAAAACACCAAAAATTCGTCAATTACAAAACCGAGATGACTGCACTTCAACGACGGCTAAACGAACAGTTACAACTTCCGGAAAAGCAATGGAGAAAATCGTTCACGATTAGTGCTTGGATTTCTTTAATATCCATGTCCTCCTGCCGTCATACGAAATATAGAAGGCTAGATATATTGACTTATCGGCACAAGTTCTCCCTTCCGAAATCCGACATGGTATTTCGTCGCTGAACAATCGAACAACACGCGGTCCGAAGAGGATAGTATTTAAATACCTGAAGGACGCTCCACCAATTCTCAACAACTGCCTCAGTTTTTCACACTTAACACTACAGGATGCTAGGTTCCCATTTAATGGAAGACCAGCAAGACTATGTTATTGTCTGCTTTCTACTAACTCTTTCACTCGGGTGATTCTAAACAGGATTGGCAGATCATTGAACGAGGATAGCCATGTGAGCAAATAGGGTTTAAAATAAATTCAGCATGGTGGTAACAGTCTCAGTGAAGTATCGCTTAAGTATAAGAGATCGCTGTGTCTCACTCCCAACGATTTGAAGAAGGCTTTTGACACAGTTGAGACAGAAACGGTTATGGAAACCCTGGACAGTCAGGAAGTCGCTGCTCAGTACATAAAGATTATTAGTGAGCTGTGTAAAAAAAATCAACCAATATATTAGCACTATACAACGATATTAACATCGACGTAAAAACAAGGAATAGGGAAAACTTCACCATCTCGTTGAAATTATTTTCCACCACTCTCGAGAACGTCATGCAAACACTGGAATGGTACAACGTGAGAGTGGAAACCGATGGTCGCCAATTATACCATCATCGCTTTCGTGATTACATCGTTCTTATGAAGGCAAGCATCAGCCAAGCGGAACGAATGTTTGCCGACTTTGATAACGCCTGTGGGAAGACTGGTCTTCGACTAAATCTCACAAAAACGATGTCCATGAGGAACAGATTGGTTTCATATGTCCCGTTGACGCTCAACGGAACGAATATCTCCGAGTACTCCGGCTACGTTTTTCTAGATCGGGAAAGCAACATGATGAACGGCTTAGATCCCGAGCTTGGGAGGAGGAACTCAAGAGCTTGGGGAGCTTTCAAGGACATTAAGGATGTAGAGAACAAAGAACACCTAATTCCTTGCCCACCTATTCGACTCCACGATTTTTCCTGCCATAACTTATGGGTCAGTAACTTCGCCCCTACGTAAGGAAGATGGAAGATCACTCAGCGTTATAGAAGGCACAGTAGAGAGGAAGATGCTAGAAGTATCTCCTATCGCGCAGGTGAAGGAAGGGATCCGAAGCTCTCATCTACGTCAACGATCAAAAATGAGAGATGCCTCGCCATACGCCAAACTGTCGACGATAAGGTGGACCGGACACGTAATGCATGTGAACTACAACCGAAAGACAACCGCTAGTGACTGGATTCCTCAGTGTGTCAATTTACTGCAGGAACTCCACCGACGCAGTGGTAAGGTCCTTCATAAAAAGCCTAGAAGAAGGATATGATGCTCAACGACTCCATAGAGCGAGCATAACCCACTGAGCTCCTTTTTCACGCACACGACAAGAAGAAATGAAGGATTTGCTGGGGCCCGCACAAGTCACTCAACGATCAATGGGACGACAGATGATACAGGTGCTCTACTCAATGCATGGCAAACTGCCCAGATACTTTTTGCAAAAGATGGCAGAATTCAGAACCGTCATTTTCCCTGATAAGGTCAGCGTTGAGTCGGATTAGTTTGGAGGGGTTGCTGAAGTGTTTTCTTCACTTCAGGCTGCCTAAAAAGCGATCTGATTTTACAACGCACCCATACTTACATTGAAGTCCTCAACTGGAAACCTAGTGAATGGCCGGAAATTTTAAGTACAACGTCACTGAGATGTCCGAAACGATAATACACCCCTCATTCAACCCCATTTATGACACCGCAGAATAAATGCCCTTAAGAGCATGAGATATGCGATAGTATAGTGGCCAGTTGGTGAAAGTTCCTCTTAAACACGAATTTGGCCACAAAAGTCGCTGTTTTTGAACATCTAGTAACCCACGCTGGGCTACGATGATTGAGAAGAACGGAAGTAGTGGTGGCTTTGACGACTCTCGTCGCCTATGCTTTATTATCAAGCCATGACGAAAACGAGGACGAAGCGATTAACGTTAGCAAAACATTTATCGACAGACAGCCATGCGAGCCAGCAAGGTTTCGAGAAGGGTTTGGCACGATGAATCATATCATGTAATAGCGAAACTCTGTATTCGACAGACTATAAGACGCTTCAGTAGCACAACATTCGAGTGGTGCTCCGCTCGAGAGGATTCGACTCGACATGGCTATAAGGACCTATATCATGAGGACGAACGACTCTGGACCATCGACTTCAATCAATCCGACTTTGATGGAGACAAGAACGCCGAAGCGTTAGTCGAATAAAGAGTTTTGTAACAGCCTTGTAAAGGCTTAATAATTAAGAAAGCAGATACCTCTTTCTCACTTTTAGTGGGTAAGAAAAAGAAAGACAGAACCGACTACAGAAGCTTTGGACTGCCGGCGCGTTCCTGCTCAGAATATAATGATCCCTCGTGAGCTATATATCCACTTCACAGCCACAATTTTACTATTCTAATGTTATTATCGAAAAAGTAATGCTATTACTACTTAGTGAAACTTATTTACGTCACCACCGAGAACACTATGCGAAAACGGGAAAGAAATAACATAGAAGTAAAAATTGTCGGCAACCAACCACCTTCCTTTTCCTGATGAAATCGTTCTTATAACCTTAAGCACGTTAAGTATCACCCAATAGTGACCGATTTTGACAACGAAGAGATTTGTCTTCGACTAAATCCTAAGAAGACGATGTTCATGAGAAACGTACTTCGTTCTGATCTCTCACCTGCATTCAGCGGAATAAATATCTATAAACATTACTCCCATGTGTCTCTGGATAGAAAATTGAATATTTCGAGCGTCTTAACTCCAGAACTAAGCAGAACAGAATGCCCGCCCCGGAGGCTTACAGTAACATTGAAAATGATAAGGATAAAGGCCAGCCAACTTCATGCCCTTTCTTTGAACTCCACGAATATCTTATTCTTCTTATTTTAGCGCACGTATGTCAAAATCTGGGAGCTACGTAAATAAGATGAAATCTATTGAACCCTACAAAATTCACTGTTGAGAAGGTGATACAAACATTAGCTGTTTCAAAGAAATAACAGAAGTTTGCAGATCTGATATACTTAGACGAAAATCGGACATTTGGTATATCTTCCAACACCGACAGCATCTAGATCCTACAGGGTGTCATGCGAAAAAAGAGATGGGCATATACCACATAACTGCTAACGAAAAACAGAGAAAAATTAAGACACTCTTCGAACCCCTTGGACGACTAGTATCTACCGAGAAATAATGTCACAAGAAATGACAGAGCCATGGAAAATACTTCACATCGTGGCCTACCATTTATGAAGTCGGCAAACAAAAGCTGAAAGAAGCATTGTGACCCGACCATCAAAATTGTTCTGAACTTTTCTGATTCCAAAACGCAATGCAAAGAGCGCCACTAGTCCTTAGTCCATAGCCGGATTTTCCACACCCTTGGAAAACGAGACCCAACACCGTTGATCTATAAGACCAGGTGCGTAGGGTAAGGCACCACACTATGGTCCGCAGAAATTAGACTACTTCCTATCTGCTAGAAACCGTTTGTTAACAGCCGAATGATTATATAACACCACCAATGTAATAACAAGTGCTATTTTCTATCCGCGTGATCAAAAATCGTAATGATTTACTTCACCGTTAAATGAGCACTCCATCAGCAAAGCATGTGCAGTTCCTGCTCCAAACAGAACCTAGAAGTCTACATGATTCTCATTCACATACACATATGCTGACAAAAACTCTCAAAGGAAAAAAAACCGCATTTATTGATGGAAAATCTGCTATCGATGAAAAACACTACCTGTGCTACGTCAAAATTTTAGGAAAAATTCTGTTTAAATTTATACAGATCACAGGGAGAGACAACGGCTCATTACTAATACAGAACTAGGGCAAATTTGTAGCACGACAGGAACTTCTCTAAAACAGTCGCTGTCACGATTTAAGAGATTAGATCCAAAGACTACACGCTAAATGATGGAATGACTAAAATACAAAAGGTTCACAACAAGTACGTTGAGTACTTGATTACGGTCAACTACAGTACTCGACTGTTGTGAAAAAGGTTTATGGAATTTCTGAGATATTCAGAAGTAATTAACAGAACAAGTGACTGATGACCAACCAAGCTCTCCAATTTTTCTTACAGTGAATAAGAAAGAATCTGGTTATATGCATAGATATCTGAACTTCTAAGTAGATTATCAATGTGCACAAGTAACTAGAAATGTCCGAATCTTAGCGGTTACACAATTGGAATGTAGTTATCGATTTTAGTACGGTGTCGCTGAGAGATGCACTCGGCGATCCAAATTATATTACGCATCTCTTGCTCTTTCAACTTAATAAAGGCATAGAAAGCACCAAAATGGAACTGGTGGAGATATGCTTGCACATTGAGCTTCACCTAAAATTAAATTCACAAACAACTAAAAATGTAAACCAAGTATTTGTAAACAGTCTTAGAAAAACATAAAGAAATAAAGTAAGAATCTAACGAGCACTGTTGCCCTGCCCCAAAAAATGCCTAAGACAGGAACGAAAATTGATAGAAACTAACCTCGTGTTCAAAGAATTTGTCCTCTAGTGTCTTCTCACCGGATGAATTACCAGAACTATCAAATAGTGGTTTGTAGTCCGAATAGAATTCGCAAACCTGCTTCACTTGTTCGTAGTCATCTGCTCGAGCAAGGCCAGATAGTCCTTCAAGAGTAGTATTCAACAGATGGTAGTTATTCAAGTAAGACCATCTAAACACCTTCACCTTCAGGATATAATTTGCCACACCTAGGATACAACTTTTCACGATCATCCTTGCTCAGTTCTGTATCAAACGAGTTAATCGTGATAATGATAGACCTGCGATCAGCCTCGAACTAAAAAACACTCTAGTGTCAATGTAACCGATTGTGTTATTAAACTGATTGGGCAAATCAAAAAATGAAAGAAGAAATACACAACTCACAGCAAGAATTTCACACATAACTTCAGCTGTGGTGCCTCCCAGCTTTTTGCAAAAATTGTAGAAGTCCTCAATATATGCTTTGTACAGTGTATTTCTGATTAGTTCAACGTTCATTTCGTCCAAATCTTGTTCATTAATGCAATCCACAAAGTAATTTGCTGAAAGAACTTCCATCGAGTGTGTAGAAAAGCATAGAGTACCGGAAAATGAGAAAACATTTATGGAACTTAAGCATTACGGCTAAAAAAGTAAAAGAAATCCAGAATATAAGTACGAAAGCACCCGATATTTATCCCACCTTCCGGGCAACTTTCAACAACTAAAGCAGTTACGAAGTTGACTTATGGAAGAAACTTAGCTCTATCGCTTTATGGTTGCACATAATTTTCCCTACGACGCTACCCTAATTTTAAAATCTTTGGAAGGCCATAATTGAAGAAAAACCAGTAATGCTACTAAGAATTTTAATGCAAAATTAAAAGCCATAACCATAAACAATACGATGGAGGAGACACCACCATCGTCCAGTGGAAGAAATTTTACTGATTCAACCACGCTCTCCGAAACATAACCCTCAATGAAGAGAAAGGACGCAACCCGTGGGCTTCAGGAAATAAAGAAATTATCATCGCGGATTAATCCACAACTTCCGGTATAAATAATACAGCGCCTACACGCGTTTAGTTGGAAAACTATTTTTTATGTTAACCTTTCATCCACTGCCTACTACAATTTTTCCCAAAAGAGCATAACTGAGTTCAATGTCGATTTGGGCTCCCCAGATCAATCTCGTTGACGAGTGATTGCTGATGACGGCGTTAGGTAGGAAACTAGCTGAAAGAAACGCAGAGCAAGGGCCTCCGTGGTGCATTCTGATGCCACTTGTAGATAGAAAACGAAATAACAGAAAGGCGAAACGAAGGAACCCCACGGTGTGGTGGTGAACGCGTTAGTCTCTATAACGGGTAATAGCACGCTCGATCGCCACCGCACGCACCTACGGTTAGGAGTTTTAGGAACATCTCAGCATTATTGTAGTTGCGACTTTTTATTGTGAAAAAAGCAGGACGAGACCGTCGCCCGCCAATACTAAACGCATCCGTTACGGTTTGAGAAAACATTCACCTTGTTGAAAATGGTTTGTAGATAAAAATGGTTCTTATTTCATTCAAGAAAGTCCACAATGAAATATCATATGCATACATGAAGTTGAGAGCAACATTTTCAATAAAATGTGAGTTAAACTAAATTTATACCGGTCACTCTACCACTCTAAATAACAGCTGAGATCAATCCAAGTTAGACCCTGTATGTTGAAAATATTACAAAAAGTAGCCTCAACCACTAACCAAGTGGTGTGTCGACGAGAACGGCATTGTAGAGCTCGGCCGGCGTGGATGCAATGTGTATCGCCTCCATCTGTTCGAATGAACCTTCAAATAACAAATATGAAAAATCACAACGAAAGCAGAAATTTTACACTACAACACACATTTAGCTTCCCACTGTGTATTTCCAAATCGCAATTTAACGTATTATTTACTGCCTATTCTTTTTTTTAACAGCAGGGTATACATTGTGAAATATAACTTCAATGATGCTGAGATATTTGCAAAACTCCGGACCGCAGGTGTATGCGGTGGGGAACGAACGCGCTATTATCCTTTCCGGGGAGTAACGCACTTCACCACCACACCATCCGAGTCCGTTCGTTTTGCCTGTCTCTCAGCTAGCTCTATCGATCTTTTGCCATCAGCAATCACCCGTCAACGGGATTGATCTAGGGGGCCCAAATCGGCAACGAACCCAGTTAAGCTGAGGCCGCAGTTACAACCACAATTTAACGTATTATTTACTGCCTATTCTTTTTTTTAACGGCAGGGTATACATTACGAAATATAACTTCAATGATGCTGAAATATTTGCATGAATCCCATTGACGGGTGATTGCTGATGGCAAAAGATCGATAGAACTAGCTGAGAGACAGGCAAAACGAACGGACCCGGATGGTGTGGTGGTGAAGTGCGCTACTCCCCGGTAAGGACAACAGCGCGCGTTCGTTCGCCACCGCATACACCTGCGGTCCGGAGTTTTGCAAATATCTCAGCATCATTGAAGTTTTATTTCCAAATCGTCTAACTAAGAACATTCAAGCAAAATAGCTATAAACAGTTTTGTACGGCTTACCCAGTGGATGGCATTTGCTGATAAGTTCCGAGATAGGTCGTTGATGAAGTGTACCAGTGATGAGAAGGATAATGTTATCGATCATGTAAGAATATCTAAACTTCATTAAGAAAGAACTAGTGTTCTTGGATACAACATTATATGAGCCAAACTTATAACTTAAAGCTCTAATGAACAAAAAAACCTCTAGCTCACGTAATATAATCCAAGAATGTTGCGAGAGGTTCAAGAGCATTGTTTCTTAAATGTGTAAACTCAGTAACCAATTTCTCTTTCAAACGTTCATCAATTACTTGAACCTGAAAACTTTTGGATACGAATACTCTAATGAGTTGAGAATTTATTGTAAAACAACTGTGCAGAAAAACAATAAACCAACCGTGATCGACCCTGGTTCATTAGCAAGGAAGTTCCCGTAGTCGGTAGACTGTATGTGCAACTTCAAATCTAAAATCCATTACTTTTACTTGATACTTACTTGACACTTGAAGGGCACCAGTTAGAACAGACAATAGTTTAGAAAAAAGAAAAGAACAAACCTTCTAGTGTTTCACATTGGACGAGGTTCGCATAATCAGTCTGCGAAAGAAGTCCACACCTGAAGCCGCGAATCAGGGCCTCCAAATAGCCATGATCGATGTTGAACAGGAATTCACCCATTGTTTGAGTTCAGGACTTTGAGTTCAAGAAAACGCAGCCTACGGAAATAAACAATGAAAACCAATAAGACATTCTAAAAAGCGATAGCACGGTTTAATATCTGAATAGTCATCGCACTTAAACAATACACAAGCGTAGTAACCTTCCCTAATGCTTTAATTGCATATCGTTACCCACACTCGCAAGAATAACGAAACACATAGGAACCACTCCAAGGGAAGTACCAACACAGAACATTAGAAACTTCATCAATGAGAATATCCTACACGGGTAACCAGCTCACCACTGCTCAAAATATCACTCCAAAGTGATAGGCATTGACATTAGCACCCACCTAAGTTGTAAGAAATAAAAATGCAACTTCTTTTATCGATGACTCCACATGATGGCCTACCTTTGTTTGATGCCATGTACAGTACTCACATAACGGATCCACAGCTGATTAGTCGCAAGGTTACGTGGTGCGTTCTCAATTGAGGAACAATGTTAAATACTGACCAAAAAGGACCATCTGCTTCGCTTCAAACGCTGGTTGGCTACGTGTGCCGCAGTGGTCGGAGGCACCCTGCAACACACGTGGAATCGATCCCCACGCCTATGGCCCACCAAGTCTACCATCCCTCCAGGATCGGCAAATTGGTACCAAACTTGTTTGGGAAGATAGAAGCACTGCCTCGATACATCAGTAGGCCACTGCGAGTCATTGTAAAGGACAGAGATGCATTCAATCACCTCAAAACGTTGTTTAGTGAAATCAAATGCATGGCGCATCCCTAAGGGATAGATCAACGCCAAAAGCTTCATCCTTTATCCTTTAAGGAATGTGATGTTCTCCTAATAGAATGGATCGAAGATATCCTGATGCTCGTTTTTTACCCGATGATCAGCTGATTTATACACCATATGGGCGCTCACGATGAGTTCGGCAAATTAACGATGAAGTTGAAAGGATGATTCTTGGCAAACGCTCAGAAAAACACCTTCGAAGATGGCCGTTTAGAATCCAACGCTTTCTCAACGCCTAAAACTGGTGACGAAAGCAAAGAAAACATTGCAAACGAGTTCCCCATAGGTTTTACGATGTGAACATATTGTGACAAAAAATGTGCCATAACCTTCAGAACTGCACTGGAGCTATGATGGATATCACTGCACCTCGATCACCCATGTTACCCTTCAACCGGCCATTTCTTCCTTGGAGACATAAAAGAACTATGCCGACAGGTGAAAATCACCATGTGGGAGGCAGAGATACAGCACTCTGAGAGCAACAATTCAAACAAGGTTTGGATACGATGAAACGAATTGTACGTGAAGTTTCGTATCATTAACGTATACCGTGATTTATTCATTTATATGGTCTTATAAACTGATCGTCTTTAGCTGATGCGAGGCTGGTATAGGTCTTCGTTGTCGTTGTTGTTGGTGTTGTTGGTTGATGGCTGACGTTTCGGCGATTTCGCCTTCCTCAGAGTCCCACACGTAAGTCACGGCTCTGAGGAAGACGAAGTCGCCGAAACGTCAGCCATCAACCAACAACACCAACAACAACGACAACGACAACGAAGACCTGTACCAGCCTCGCATCAGCTAAAGAAGATCAGTATAAGATCATATAAATAAATATATCAACTAACTATGTCGAGGTTTATAGAAAGTCGGTCTTTCGGGATACTGTGATTCTTAAGTACTTAGATGACTGAGCTTACACGACTATGTCATGGAGCATTCTATTCGGAAGGCGCCGAAACGTTAGCCGAGTAGAAGTTTAACAACAATCTCGTGTAACCTTAATCAATCAATAAACCATAGATTCTTAGTATTTTTGTTGAGCAAACGCGAGGTGTCATTATTCTTTAATCCGAAATCCGAAATCCGCCGAAACGTCAGCTTATTCGTGAATAAAGAATAATAACACCTCGCGTTTGCTCAACAAAAATACGAAGAATTACTTGATCAATGCCGAGGTTAATAGAAAGTCGGTCGTGGGAGTTACTGTCAGAATATTCACGCAAACGCTAGAAAGGAGCCTACTCTTAGGAACGATGTGGTTAGTGAAAACAACATCTTTCCTGCAATAATTAAGAAATGTCCTCTACATGACAGACAAGTGTAAATGTTAGGATGAGGGTACTGGTAACGATTAGGACGGTTCTAAGCATTTTGAGTCAATCGAGCATGGAAATCAAGCCTAACAGAGATAATGGATCAAATTCGGAAGGACTGGAGACCATATCAGTACTGTCATCACCTGGACTACCACTCAACAACGCTGGACCAGCGAACACTTCGGAATGTGGCGAGCGCACCGTACTCACCGAGCGATTGGTCGCCGCATCGATCGCTGGCCTCGGCGGCGCCTGATTCAGGACGGGCGCGAGATTCGAAGGCGCATTACGCGGCACCGCCCACCGACGCGCCGGCAGCCGGAGCCGGATGCGCCTCGGGGATGGACGGCGTCGTCCGCGTGTTCACCGTCGGCGGCGGCTGCAAGGCGGTCCGCTACGACGACGGCACGACTGTCGAGGTACGTACTCCGTTCCTTTTCGTCCTCCTTCGTCTGTTATCGCTTCCTTGAATCTCCTCATCCGATGTCCCGTTCTGGATTCCTGTCTGTATAATCTGATGAAATTGGCTCTTTTCTGGCGTACAGCACTCAAATCGATCTGCTGTTCGCCGTCAGACACCTTACTCATCGTGCCGAATCGATCACGTGTTTTGCCGCTGGTTTTTTCTCACATTGTGCCAAGAATCTTTGTTATTTCAATTCAAATAATATGTCCCTCATCGGCCATGGCGTTTGTTTCCCAAGTGGCACAGAACATGTAAAGTTGTCCCTGCAGAGGTTAAAAAAGTGATAAATTGCACTATCAATCTAGATGTGGGGCAAAGCTAAGACTTGACTTTTGAGCGTTTTGGCATCGATGAAGCGTACGTGCTGTGATTCTGATAGTCAAGTATTTAATTTTCATTTGCTTTACTTTCTTCGTACGGAGTTGCATTGCTTACCAGTTACTCATCCTCAGGATATCTCAGGGTTAATTTGAATGTTGTTGAAGTAAAGGTCTATGGAAGGAAGTTAAACATGGACCTTTTTCAATATCCTCATGGTTAAACGCATGGCGGTAGCTCTTTTGATCGCCCTTTTTTGGATTTTTAGTAGCACTTGTTCCTTCTTTTATATCCCTGGCCATAAACTTTGTGCACAGCAGGGCAGAAGTTGTGTGTGCGCATCTTCTCCATTACTGTTTTCGAGTGCTAAGTTCTCGTATAGCATTAATTTCCTTTTAATTTCGAGCTAAGACTGAGCCACTATTTTCCCATTCCATTTGTTTTTGATGTCGTTAATGTGATGTTTTCATCGCATGTGAAGATACATCAATCAAATAATTTCGCCATATGTTCACCAACGATCCTCGCCTATTGGCATAAATCACCGCATAATCTCGTAGCCCGCCTATCCCACTGCCTAGAAGGGAGTGTGGGCAATCGAAGAGCTTAGTTGACCCCACTCTTGGATATGGCTAGCTGTGCTAAAGCGACTGGGCTTCCCGTTCTCTCTTGATTCTTGTCGAGCCTATAATGCAGTGTTTCTAAGAAAACCATCTTGGTTACAAGATAATTATGGTTTTTAGCTCCTATTTCTGTCAGCTAAGGAACTTCTCACTACACTTTTGTAGAATAACGTGTGTGATTTTCTTCAATGAATTGCAGTGAGACGTGATCTTGGAGCACGAGGGTGTGTGAGTAAATTTTGCAGATTTAAACTGAAGTTACGGAACGACAGCTGTCATCACTCCCTCGCCCTTGGAATGTATATATGAATCTTCACTAGATCGGAATTTTGGTCACCTGATTCCTGACGGAATCAAAAGTAACAGATGTCTTCTGTGGGCAGCAACCTTATCTTTTGCAGCAGTCGTCTACAGCGAAAGCAGCCCTTTCCTGGTAGTTCTCTTGTACTTTCCTTTTGTTGTCGATGATCCGGAATGTTCCTTGGCACTAGGGGTCATTCAGTAGTTATTCGGTTTGTGTTGTATCTGAATCTGGTCTAACTTCACATTCGTCGTCAAAAACAGTTATTTTGTGGTATTCCAAATGCGATTCGTGGTTTCCAATAAGAAAATACGGCTTTCGCTGCATATGCACGGCGTCTTCCTAGCAAGCACTCACAATCTTCTATTGGTCCCTTGTCTGATGATATTGGAATAAGAGCCCTCTAGGTGTCTTCCATCTCTTTGCGTGATAACAAAAATTATTGACATTCGTGAAGAAGCTTATCGGTTTCTATGCAAAACGGTATTCATATATATAAAATACTACATGAAATATGTTCAGAAGTGTTCCTGTGGACCATACAATTTGGAAATCCTCGTGTTTTTCGGTGGATCCCTCCATGTAGAAAAAAACAATCGGACGAAAATTGCTTCCATATCACTAAACCTAGAAGTTTTCCTTGCATTTAACAGATAAGATGCAGTTCTTCAAGCAAATAAACCGGAATTTTCAATGTTTCCTCTGCAGCTAGGGTTAAATTTGAATTATCTACTCTTAAATAAAAAATATGAAGCTCTCGGCGTTGATCAATCTCCGAGGGATGCGCCTTGCATTCGACTTCATTAAGCATCGTTGAAGGTTGTCGAATGCATATCTGGCCTTTACAATGACTCACGGTGGCTTATTGATGTTTCGAGCCAGTGCTGCTATCCTCTTAGACAAGTCCGGTACCAATTTGCTGACCCCGTAGGGTGGAAGGCTTGGTGGGTCGTGGGCGTGAGGGTCGATTCCATGTCTGTGTGTTGCAGGGCACCTCCGTCCATTGCGCCACACGCGCCCCTTATCTGCTCATATAGGCGGGATTTCCTCTTAAAACATAACAGTCGTAATCGTAATATACTGAAATTTCGTTTGTAGTGCAAAGTTCATCCAACTTGCTATCGTGCACGATATTTGGACGGCGCGCAAGCGCAATTTTCACTCATTTTCTTACCTCGGTCGTCACCAGTGTGGGTGGTCTGATTGATGCACGACGGTATACGCAATATCTTGAAGCCATATCCGGTTATCGTTACTGCGAGTGAGTGACAAGTATGCGTGCCATCATTTATATCCTTCAAGGACGCTTGTACCCTCTTGTGATCCTGTTCACCGTCTTCACCGTGTTTGTAACGTACTTAGTCACCACTTGACCGGCTGACATACGTTCCGCTTTGTGGTAGTGTCCTACTAGATCGTGAAGACGAGATGTTTATTCGAGGGCTTGGTGAACAGTACTTGTTTTCAGAATATCTGCGTTTCAGAGGAGAGAATTACAGCAGTATTTATGGTTGGGAAATCCCGTAGTTTAGTGTCGGTCCACGGCGCATCTTCATAGCAAGCGCTGGGAGAATTTAGGTATCGATCAAGCGGTAGTAGAAATCTGGGTCTGTTGTCTCGGTGCTTTCTTTGTGGCGCCCAAAGGCTGTTAACACAGTGTTTCTGTGGAGTGTAATGAATGCGTTGTTTTAGTTTAGCAAGAGTGATCTTTAGTTCAATCAGGAATTTGATAACTTTTTAGAGAAGACCTCCCTCGTCGCCTAGACAGAATTTGGCGTGCGAGTGTACGGAGGCTCCTATTTTAAATCCGTCGTTTTCTCTTTCAGTAATCCCGAGGTTGTTAAACAGTATGCGTTTCCTTCCATACAATAACACATAACACAACCGTAGCTGACGTTTCGGCAGAATCGCCTTCCTCAGTGTCTGGAAGGGGGTGGTCTCACCGCCTAATGTATTAAACGCATGCTCTCAATGTGTAGTATTGAGGGTAGTTTATTGATGGCTGGGCAGTTTGTTGCTCTGTTGAATCCCAAAGCGGAATTGCTAGGGCGTTTTCAAGTCTTCACCACAGTCAGTCGCTTGCTGCACGGATCGGAGCAACGTTTTGTGTTCACGGAAATTCCTGTGATTGGTCGACCGACCGATTGGTTTAAAACAGCGTTTTAGGTGGAAATATTAAGACAATAATATACGGTTGCAGAACAATTACCGTTCACAGTTCAGCTTTTCTTTTTCAAGAAGAAAAATTATGGAAGTTGGAAAGGAGCATTACCTAATGGGACGACTTATACTGAAATCGTTCCTATCGTAACAAAGAAAGATGGTGCCTCATTGGATACCGTTGTTTCATCACTGGGCTCAATTACTGAATTTTTATTGAGAACAGTCGATTCGGCTATAAGAAAAGAACTGCCACAGACCAGCAGGAATAGTACGTGTGAATGAGAAGAGTATTTTTAATGAAATATTTTTTTTATGACTGGAGGATCTGACAAGACTTGACCGAAGACTGTGAGCCCGTTTTTAGGACTTGAAGTCGTACCGAACACACCTTAGGTTTTCAACTGTCTGGATCGCTTTAGTATCAAAGAGTTTCTTAAGAAGAGTGCAAAATTGGAATTAAATCCCATTAAAAGCGATCACGGCCTCGGCTAGTAATAAGTTTCATCTGTTGAAGATCTTTGCAGTCGTATCTACATCGGTGCAACCAGAAAAGAAAAACTGCTAGAAGTGTTTCGAAATGTGAATATAATGAGCCACTGCTAATTAGTAGTGCTGAATGGAAAAAGGTTATCACCATGTCCTCAACATTACCATTAATTCCGAGTGTCATTCAAAACAAACACAATTTAAGAGTTGGAAGAATAACAGCTCACTTTCCTGTGCCTGGAAAGCACCCTTATGATAGCTTTTCTTCACAAGATTACTGATTAGTGAAGGAGCTGTCATTGTGCTCAAAAACGCTACCGAAGGAGTTTTTGCGACTACCATTGATTTGACAGTTAACCTAATGCGCATATAATGAGCTTTAGATAAAGCTCAACCAGTGGGACAGGTGGAATCGTGACAGATATTGATCATATCAAATGTCACTGGAGTCTACAAATCAGCAATTACCCTTTCTTCTAACCTTGATTGATTACAAACGAGCGTCTATGTGAACGTCATCAAACTAGCGCTCGCTGATTAAGCAATGTATGCACTCTGCATTGAAAACCCTGCTCACTGCAGTCGCTGCTGGACCACCAAAATACAGCTTGTATATCGATCGCTTACCATAGGGAGCGGGTTCAACGGCGGCACGATTGATTTAGCAAAAGCTGCCTGATTTAGTACCGATCTTGCATGATATTGCGGTGTAAAATGATGTCGCTTCATTAGGGCGAAAAGGTTATACGCATTGCTGGAAAATTCCTATCAAACTGTTAGTTTGTCGACGTAATCATTCTTTCGAAAAGTACCAATGGAACAGATGTGATGGTCAAAGAGCTCAAATGATAAGGAAAACGATGAACCTTGGGGTAGATCGGAAAACCAGTTTTTGAAGAACCCCTAGTTCGATGAAAAATGCATTGTATGGTTTTCTGAATAGAGAAGCCACATTGTGCTCGTACCTAATCTGTTTAATGAACATGGTAAATAGCATTATGGAGGAATTCTGTACAAGAAAAACATCATGGGCTCCGTTTGGAACTGTTAGAATGCCCATAGCAACAGATGAACCTGAAACTCCACGCTCACCTTTTTTACTAATTGGTCTTT